CCAGCTTTCTCCGCTTATCTCTAGAGCGTTGCTCTGGAGACGAGAACACCGTTTTCACCCCCCTTCCTCCATTCCAGTCCATCACAAAAACAGACTTTTTGTTTCCAGATATGAAGACAAAACATTAAATACATCTTGGCCTTTGCATGTTTCATATAGTTTTTTGCAGCGGAAAATGTTTTCTTGAATTTCAGCATCCTTTACGAATCCTACAAATGCCGGAACGTGACATTTATTGGTGAAATCTGTTGACTCATCAACTTGGATAGAAAAGCTGCTGTTCTTCAGTTTATCACACAAAACCTCTTCAGCATCATTTGACATGTCATCAACATGCCGACTTTTTGTGCTCTTTGACAGTAAAACCTTTTCCATTCCTTGTACATCTGGTCCTAGCATTTTCCCCACTATTATTTTACATGTTGGCATGATTACTTTCTCACCCAAAGCATGACTTTTCCTTTGCTGTGTAATAAGTTCTCTTACTAAATAACTTGCTTCTTGGACTTTTTACTGACTGCCATTTTATTAACAAAAGCTTTACTCTGTTTGATTTCAATAGCCATTTAAAATAATCAGAACTTCTACTTGTCATATGGCAGTGATTTCTGCTTTAATTTTGCTGAAGGCATTGCTGCATTTGTTAAGTTGTTTGCCACAGATGAGGCACAACAGAATAGGACAACTTGGAACACCAGTCCATGTAAAACCCATTGGTAAATAGTTTTCATTGTAAAGACAGACTTTTTTTTGAGTCCATTGATGTACCAGTGCAGGGAAATGCCTGAGAAGATTTAAGTTCTTCATTATCATTATCCTCATTAAACTTATCGGTATTGTCCATTCCAGAATCCTCCTCTTCTCTCTCACACCTCCTCTTCAAAAATCGCCACATTGGACCCTCGGACATGACTGAATAAACATATACAAAATTTATTTAAAATAACAGGATAAAATAACTACAGGAAAACCGCAGGGAAAAGATGCAGGAGAGACAGACTGACATCACAGACTAAGTTGGACGAGTCCATTAATTTCTTGAAAAATGCACTTCTCCCTCCCCTTCCTGTAATATTCCTCCCTTCCTGCAATATAGTGTTCACTTGTTATCGACAGTCTCCCCATCTCGTGTCAAAAATTAAGAATGGATTCAACCAACTAAACACAGTCCTACAGCATACTACCAGAGAGCTCAGAGTTGTAACTAGATTTCTGTTTGGTTTCTGCTCATCACTGTGAGAACATGTTGTCCGAATGATTTATTTAAAAAATTATTTCATTATCTCCCAGGGAACCCCTAGTGATCTCTCCTGCAACCCCTGGTTGAGAAACCCTGGTCTAGGAGCTTTAATTTTAAAGAAGTCTCAAGTGAAAATCAATTCATTTTTTTATTTTTGCAGATATACAAAGACAAATAGAAATAAGTTAATTTTCTGCACTGATTGACATAGATCACTGGCATCTTCTAGGACCACAGAATAACCCAACACCCTGCTATTCCATTTTTGCAATCCCACAAGTAGCTAGATAACAAGTTTCACAAGAAGCATTTGTTTAGAAGTTACTGGCCAAAGACTGTTTCCTCCCCCATAAAGAGTTAGTATATTTCACTCTAACAATTAAGTATAGAAGGATAATCTCTGCACGCTAAAGAAACAGAATGACCCACCCTCACTTCTAATCTGATGTTGTTTAGTACGCATATTCCCACATGCCCTTTGCCCCAGGGGAACTGGGATCAAATGATAAATGGTAACCTGTAACAATTATTAATGGTAGAGAATCCTAGGAAAGTTTCCTATTTAGATTTTTTTAGAAATAGGATGCTTATAGCAAAAAGCTCAAATAAAAGAGCAAGTAAATAGGGCTTGAAGGGAGAAGAGCACAGAAAATTCTATTTGCTTTTTTCAGGCACTGCTTTGGGTGCTAGTGAGAACCTCTCTCTAAGCTGCAGACCCTGAAGTATATTTTCAGTCCCAATCCTTGCCTACGTGCAAATCTGAGCTGCATAATAAGAAAAGGTGGTACCTTAAGATTTCATCTCTCTCACATTCCAAATTACTGGATTTTGTTGATTCTGACTTTATATTGATTTCAATACCCCATATGTATTACTGGACTCTGCAGTATTTCTATCTTTTTCCCCACAGTAGGAAAGAAACGATTCTATGATAGCCTTTGGTGAGTGGCCACCAGCATTTTTGTTTTGAAGCCATGAAGGGGGAGGTCCTCTCACTTGAGCTGTGTAGAGCAATTCTCTCACTGTCAATATTGCGCTTCATGATGTACTAGTGCAAAATATCCACACATAATAAATAGTTCAAGACATCCAAAGTCCAGTCAAGTGAGCCTGCAGCTTTTAAGGGAAAGTGTTGGCCACATGGTGAGTGTAGCATTGTCCTTTTGGCTGAAGACCCTTCCTGTTTACATGAGCTTGAAAGAAGGACGGGCGAAAATAGGCATTAGTTAAGTACTAGTGAAACTTGGTATCCTATACAACAAGAATCTTCCACTGTTTTGCATTGGCTCAGGGCTGACGGGAAGCTCCAGAAAGGCTTACTCAGTTGCGGGTGATTTTCTCTGGTGGCATGAACCCAGTGTCACCAAGCACGCGAAGTGCCACCCTGCCATTAGGGCGGATCACCAAGTGGGTGATGCTGCCATTGTTCAGTGATATCCGAAGCCAACCTTCAGGAGGAAATTGCAATGCTCTTCAAAAAAAAAAGGGGGGGGGAAACAATTGTGAATGTTTTGATAAAGACTGCAAGGTTAATTCATTGTTCCTGGTGGTCATTAAAACAAAAATAAAAACTGGCATATCCACTGTAATGCATGTATTTCAGAGCAAATCCGCAAAATAAAACAACAAGAATGAGAAATCTCTTAGGAGACCATGAGAATATATTCTTTCACAAATCGTGTATTTCATAAGGTGAAGTGGGATCCTAATGTCAGTCATGGATCCTATGTTACATTACTCACTGTCTCTACCATCTGGGTCCTATCACCAACTCAGGGTGCCTCCAGTGGCAATGAGGGACTTCCTAACTGGGAGTCAAGAACAACTTGGATCTTCTTTCTGCTGTTTGGAGTTACTGAAGAGTTACACATTATCCAAAGAATCTGGAGCAAAGTGGCTGGTAAATCTCAAAAAAGATGAAACCACTCCAGATTCATCCACCTAAGCTTGTCATCAACCCCAATCCACCAGGCCTATATTTCTGGAGCTGAAAGGACATTTTAAGCTCTTCCAACTGAATGTTCAAGTCGTTACGCCATAGTCACAATCCAATGCCCAACCTCCATTTTAGGCATATATGATGTCTAAGTTTTTAATAAATTAATCAGTACAGTTTTAATAAATTTGTCATCAACAAATGATTTTAACTCATTCACAGAAAGCTTTACTAAATTGGGATGTACCTTCCTTAGGGTTCAAGACAGACTTTGTGAATTCACTGTTGCCAAAAGCTAAATGGTCTCCCAAGTCTAGTATTTTTCAGAAATTATGCTGGCATTAGATATGAGCCTTTTGAAGAATCATAATTAACTTTATGAAGCTTTTATCCCCCAGGAGAGCTAAAGTATCTTGAAAAGAGGCTCGCTGTTTTAGCAAGACTATAAATATTTCTACAGCCATTGCCCATCTTCTCTCTCTCCTCTTGGACCCAAACTCCAAAAGAGATAATTGCTTCTAGGATTGTCCTCCAACTTAAAGTAAACTTAGCATGATACTAAAGCAATCTTAAATTAGTGTAATCGTAAGTAATTAAACACCTCGCCTCAAGTACAACAGTCTTGTCCATGGTCTGCACGGTTAGACATAAACATGGGTTCAAGTATAGATCGGTCTCGTTAAAACTGACCGAGCTTTAAGTTTAATATGCCACCAGTACAATTCCTGCATATGTCGTATTCAGAAAACTTAAGACATTTGAAATCACACCTGAGAGATGGTGGAACAGTGACTCCATCAGTATATTCATCCTTTTGTCCCTTAACTTGCTGCCCTCCATTGTATGGAACTGCAACTCCCATCACCCACTCCCCTAGCCATTGGTTGAAATATCAAAGCATCCAAAAGGCTTCAGTTTGGGGGAGACTGTGGGGACAGAGCGGAGTGGGGAAGGTCACTGACATAATTCATACATGTCAGAAGTTCTCCAAACACAGGAATAAATAAAAATATTCTCATTTCTTCCCCACCCAGTTTTTAAATATTACCGTGCATTTCTTTAATGATACTTTTAAATCCCCCTACTCAAAGTGAAAGCAAAAGCTTTGAGTTAATCCTACAGGCAACTGCTCCAATGACTGGACATCCATAAACTCCCAAACATGTGTTAAATGCATCTGATCTCTCTGTATAATGCACGGCACAACATGCTAAACCAACTTAAGAACCAGTAGTTTGCCCCAACCCCAGCGGTCTCTTCCACCGTCTGAGTTACCTGCAGACAATATAGCGAATAACGTTAGCATGACAAACGAAGATTTCGTAGCTATCATCTTCCTGTTTGATATCAGCTCGGTGAATGTAGTTTCTGAAGGCAGCCTCAATGCGAGCTCCATCTTCGTAATACTGCTAAAAGCAGAAGATTGGTGATTGATGTGGATATTTAAACCTGCATACATTTTTTTTTCTCTTCTTTTAATAATCAGGAATCAGTGATCCATTCCCAAACACATTAAAATCTAGAGGCCTTCAGACTTAATAGTATTTGGATTGCTGGAATCAGCAGGGATTGAAGGAACAAAACGTATAAATCCTTTTTATAAGTAAATATTTAAAAATATATTTTTAAAAATATAAATATTTTTATAAATAAAGTCCAGTTTAAGATGCTGAGCCTCGCATCTCAATTCTGGGAGTTGAAGTCCATACATCTTCAAGCTACCAGGGTTGAAAAACACTGATCTAAAAGAAATCCAAAAGTTGTACCACGAAAACTAATGCTGGACTAGATATTACCACAGCTTCAGGCTTCCAGTGAGAACTGGGAGGATTCGGTTCAATTGGAGCCCCTTCTCGCAGGAGATCCGTGCTCAGCTTTGTCACCCCTGGGGAGGAGAGGATGCATGTATTTCAAATCCTTGTGGTCTGATTCATATACAATCTAATGTACACAAGAGGATTTACAGGCCTTTTGGTATTAGTGTCCTTCCACAGACACATACGATTCCATGATGACTCTTTTAACAGGCTCTGGACACAGATTTCATAGAGATGTTTACTGCCATTGCTCCAATCGCAAAGTCTTACTTTTGACATGGAGAGCCATCACTGGACTTTGGATAGATATAAACAACTCTGGACCTGCTTCCCAACTTTCTGAAATGCTCTGATTGCTTTGCAGCCTTCAAGGAGAGCTCCCATTGTAACTTGTGATGGACCCCAAAGTTAGCTCATCTCGCCACAGATCTTAAAGCCTAGGGCTAGGCCTGACATACAAGGAACTCCAGGAGACCATGTAAATTCAGTCCAGCAATGTTT